TGGTGGGAGCAGTGGTGGGGATGGGGCAGGGGGCTTGTGCAGAGGCCAAGCCGTGGTTGCAGCCCGAGCCAGAGCCGCTGGAGGTGGCAGGAGAGCGAGGATACGCTGGGTTTATGGCCKGTCTCATGATGTCTTTATGGCCGGGACGGGGCAGGTGCCGCCCAAACCAGCCCAGCCCAGCCCRGCMCGGCCCGGTCCGACACGGCACGSCACAGCCGGTCCCTGCCCCACATCCTGGCAGGGTGGAGGCTCACAGAGGGACTTTGCCCTTCGAGGTGGAGCACCCCAGAGCTCTCGCTGGCACCACTGCCGTGTGTGCCCACTGCCGGGCAGCTCGACAGCTCGGTCCGTGCTCGCTGCACAGGCAGGGACCAGCAGGGACCCGGTTGGGGTCAGGGTCCTGTCCTGGCTCTGCTTTGGTGCTGAGTCCCCCGCGTCCCGTAGTGGCCACCGCAGAGCAGGTACGCTGACCCCTTGCCTCTGCCGAGCCTGCCCCATATTCAGGGGTGGAGCTGAGCTGGAATCTGTCCCCAYAGCCGCCCTGTCCCAACGGCAGGGAGCGGGGACACCTTAGCCCTGGCTGTGCCGTGCAGATCTCGGGCTGGCAGACGTTGCCTCCAGGAAGGTGTTTGTGCTGCAGCAGGATGCTGGGGGATGTGGGGGCTCAGGATGTGTCCCTGGATCCTACAGCATCACCCGAACGGCTCCTTCCCCACAGGAACGGGCCGGAGAGGGGACTCTGCTGCCCGCCAGAACCCGGGCGGACGGTGCCTCTCCCCATGGCAGCCAGGCCCCCACCTTAGGCCAGCCAAACTGGACACCGCGGTCCCACGAGAGACCCTCCCCAGCCAGAGCCCACCCGCCTGCCACCTCCAGCCCAGCCCGGACTCACCTGTCACTGCCTGTCCCCAGCGCAGCCCAGCGTCCCCCGTGTCAGACGAGGGCACACATCGCGATGCCGCGACCATCACCGGTGGGTAGAGCTGGGGGTGCCAGTGGGTGGTCTGGGGGAACCGGGGTGAGGGGGCGAGGAGCTGGGTTTGCCTCGGGCTGTTCCTTCATCCTGTCCCCATCCCGTGGCCGGAGATGAGCCACTGTCCCGGCATCCTTCACCCCACGCTGCATCCCACTCCCGCTGTCCCCAGCGGGGCTCGGGCGGGCAGAGCGTGGCCAGGAGATGGCAGCAGGACTCTGCCCGCGGACAGCGGGGCGATGAGGGGGGAGCAGGGCAGAGCTGGGGCACGGCTCCCTGAGTGCCACCCTGCGGGGGACCCCCAATACCCACACGAGTGGCTCTGGGGACATCCCCAGTCCCAAACACCGAGGGGACAGAGTGGGCTGAGGGGTSCAGGAGGTGCTCACCGGGCACAGCCCACTCYSTCCMTGTGCCCCCCWCCCTGGGCTGACACCATGTCCCTCTGTCGCAGAGCTGTGCAGCGAGGATGTCCCCGAGGTRGAGCTCATCAGCCTGCTGGGCGAGCAGCTGCCCCGCTACACGCTGCGGGCTGACACCGTTTTTGGCTACGATCATGGCGACTGGCTGAGAGCCCCCACCAGSCCCCCGCAGCCCTTAGCCCCCCTCACGCCCCAGCAGATAGAGGAGACCCTGGATTATTTCCGTGAGTGCCCGTGGGCGGCCGGGACGGTCAGGGTGGTGGGCACAGCCCCGCGGTGTCTGCGCWGGGTCGCGACGGCGAGGACAGCCTGGGAGCTAATCGCCGCTAATGGGATTGACGGGCTGGATTTCCTAGCCCAGAACATCCCGGGCTAATTCTGAGAGCAGCTTCTGCTGAGCCGTGCCGGATGCTGGGGGAGAGCCCCCATCATTTCCAGGGACCCCCCGCACATCCCTGCACCCCGAACTGTGCTGTGGCTCGCAGGGGTGGGGTTGGCAATAGGTTCACCAGTGAACAGGGAATCCCAGCGCTGCGAGGAATCCCAGTTWGCTCACCCAAACATGCCAGCCTGGAGCAGGGCTCAGGGCTGCTGTGCCAGCGGAGCTCCCAGATTTGTGGGGATCCCAAGGGAAGATCCCCACACACCCCAAGGCCGGGCAGGGTGATGCCCATGGCACCGTGAGGGTCAGGACGATGCCCATGGCACCGTGAGGGTCAGGACGATGCCCATGGCACCGTGAGGATCAGGGCAATGCCCATGGCACTGTGAGGGTCAGGGCAATGCCCATGGCACTGTGAGGATCAGGGTGATGTCCATGGCACTGTGAGGGTCAGGGTGATGCCCATGGTACTGTGAGGGTCAGGGTGATGCCCATGACACCGTGAGGGTCAGGGTGATGCCCATGGCACTGTGAGGGTCAAGGCGATGCCCATGGCACCGTGAGGGTCAGGGTGATGCCCATGGTACTGTGAGGATCAGGGTGATGTCCATGGCAGTGTGAGGGTCAGGGTGATGCCCATGGCACCGTGAGGGTCAGGGTGATGCCCATGGCACTGTGAGGGTCAGGGTGATGCCCATGGCACCGTGAGGGTCAGGGTGATGCCCATGGCACTGTGAGGGTCAGGGTGATGCCCATGGCACTGTGAGGGTCAGGGTGATGCCCATGGTACTGTGAGGGTCAGGGTGATGCCCATGGTACTGTGAGGGTCAGGGTGATGCCCATGACACCGTGAGGGTCAGGGTGATGCCCGTGGCACTGTGAGGGTCAGGGTGATGCCCGTGGCACTGTGAGGGTCAGGGTGATGCCCGTGGCACTGCGAGGGTCAGGGTGATGCCCATGACACCGTAAGGGTCAGGGTGATGCCCATGGCACTGTGAGGGTCAGGGTGATGCCCATGGCACCGTAAGGGTCAGGGTGATGCCCACGGCACCGTGAGGGTCAGGGTGATACCCATGGCACCGTGAGGGTCAGGGTGATGCCCACGGCACCGTGAGGATCAGGGTGATGTCCATGGCACTGTGAGGGTCAGGGTGATGCCCATGGTACTGTGAGGGTCAGGGTGATGTCCATGGCACTGTGAGGGTCAGGGTGATGTCCATGGCACTGTGAGGGTCAGGGTGATGTCCATGGCACTGTGAGGGTCAGGGTGATGCCCATGGCACCGTGAGGGTCAGGGTGATGCCCATGGCACAGTGAGGGTCAGGGTGATGCCCATGGCACTGTGAGGGTCAGGGTGATGCCCATGGCACTGTGACATGGCCCATCCTTGGTGCGAGGTCGGGGTTCAGCGGGGGGCACAGACGGATTATCTCCGCTTTGTTTCTGCCTCTGTCCCGTGTGTCGAGGACAGGATTAGAGCGAGGGGCTGGGGRATGGATGTGGGGCAGTGGGAAGCAGATGGGGCTGAGGCCTCCACCCACCTGCTCACACCAGGCAGGGCTGGGGGTGAATCCTCACCACGCCTTGCTTGTGCGTTCAGCCTTCCCCTTCTGGCTGCTCCCCTCTCTGTTCAGCAAGCTTTGGGGAGCATACCCCACCATCAGCACTGCCCTCTGCAGTSACACTACAAGGGATTGAGCCCCAAACCCTGTCTCTGCCTCAGGGCAGGGAGCACCCAGCACCACAGGACCCTKGCACCCCACCCCTGCTCCATGGGGYCAGTGGCTCTCAGTGCCAGGCTCCTGCAGGTCACAGATACGCAAGTCCCAGTGCTGCTGGCGTGTGTTGGTGTGTGGAGGGGGCCCATGGCGTCATTCCTTTACCCAAACCCTTAAGCTGCCATCAGAAATAGCCCCCTGTAATCTGCTTGTGTGGACATAGGGAACCTGCCCAGAGGAGCAAATCCTGGGGCAGGGGATTAGGAAGAAGCAGTGTCCTCACTGAGACGCGTGCTTGAGTCCTTGGGGTCCTTGGGGGGTGGGTGCCCAGCTGGTGGTGCTGGCTGTGCCCCGGACCTTACCAGGGGAAACAGCAGTGCCAGGAGGAGGAGAGACTGGGGCTGAGGGCACCTGCTCCAGTCCCCACTCCAAGGGGGTCGCTGGTGGTTACAGCAGGATWTGGTTGGGGCCAGGATCCTGGGGGTAGGAGTCGAGCAGGGCAAAGTGTGTGATAGTGAGGGGCAGCTTCAGCTGTGTCCATKCACTGATTATTTGGGTGATAACAAGGAAGGGCATTGGGGCAGGTGACAGGGACAAAGCACGTTGGCATTACCAGCATCACACCCACGTGGCTTGTGCTACGTGCCTGCTAGCTCCTCCATAATTCAGCACACCATAATTTATTCAGTTTTCTTGCTTCTGTGATGTTTCTGCATCAGTGTGGTTGTAGGAACCAGCCAGGGATGGGGCCAGGCTCGTGCCAGCCCATGCCCGGAGCCAGGGGTGGTGAAAGGGGAGGTTGGAGTGGAATGGAAAAGACCTTTCCCTGTTCAGGGACCTGACAGGTCCCAGCACTGCAACGGGTACTGCATGTGCAGGGTTTGTGATGAGGGGGCGACCAGCCTGGGGTRTTTTTTTGGCCAGAAGAGTGTACCCTGACCCTCACGGGGTCCCGAGCCCTGCACAGTCATGGCATTGCAGGGAGGGCCCCCAACCTCTCTCTGTCCTTCCCGAGGGGCAGAAGCTGCTGTCTGTGTGTTMCCCATAGTGTCAACCCTGCAGAGCTGCTGCTGGGGGACCCCCAGTGTCCCCTCAGCCCTCACTGCCACCCACGGGGGCCCGTGTGCCCACACTCCCCGTGTCTATGAGCTGGGACCAGACATGGGACACAGAGCCCACAGCTCAGCAGGACTGTCCTGGTGGGTGCCCCAACAGGGAGCCCGGTCCTAGGGTGCCTGATGGGGACCCGGGAAAGAGGGGGCAACGGGCACCCCCCGGCAGCCACGGGCAGCCCCCGACCCCCGCATCATCCCCGCATCGCCCCGGCCCCGCCCCCGTCCCGGCTCCAGCCCCGGCCCCGCCGCCGGGGGATGCGCCGGGCAGGTGCGCGGGGACCGAGCGACCCTATAAATAGGAGCGGGAGCGGCCGCAGCGGCTCCGCTCGGCGCGGCGGGGCTGGGCTGGGCTGGGCACRGCAGGGTGGGCACAGCGGGCTGGGCGGCTGCGGTGGGCTCGGCACCATGGAGATCTGGAGCAGCCCCGCCGCCTACGACGAGTTGAACGGGAACGCGGAGCGCGGCGGCGGCGCGGACCCCATCGCCCGGGAGCTGGAGGAAGGTGAGGCCGGCCCGGGCGGTCCCTCCCCAGGGATGGAGATCGGGATGCGGCTGCGGCAGGGTTGGGCTCCCCCCGGGGCTGGTGAGGAGCGGCGGGGACCGGGATCTCCCCGGGGCCGGGGCTCGTCCGGAGCGGTCAGGGTCGGGGTCTCCCCGGGGCCGGGGTCTCCCCTMGGGAGGTGCCGTGTGCTCCCCACATGTGCATTCCCGCGACCCCCGTCCTTATCGCCGCTCTCTGGCCCAGGGTTGCCGCCGCCCGGTCCCTTGGGGACMCCCAGGGTCACCCCGACCCCAAGGAGACCTGTCCCCGCGCCGGGAGTGGCGGGGRGAGGGCAGAGGGACGGGGCGAGCGGCGTGTGTCTCTATGTGGTGAAGGGAATGGGGGTCCTCCCCTCCCTCATCCGCAGGATCGGGCCCGCAGATGGGTGTTTGTTTACATGCTTGCCCGCGCTGCAGCCCCCGTCTCCCAGGGCCAGCCGCTCGCTCCAACCGTAACGATGCTCATGCTCTAATTATTTCCAATTAATGGCTCAGGGGCCTGACGAGGTGCAGTTGGGGACCCCCGCGGGGAGCGGGCCCTGTCGGGGTGCAGAGAGGGGGGCACAGCCGGGGCTGGGGCTGGGGTTGGGGTTGGGGCTGGCCCTTCTTCCCATGGACATGTTTGGGGTACGTGCCCGCTGGGGCGTGGGGCAGCCCCCGCGCCAGTGAGGACTGGACGGGACCGGGGTGGCGAGTGGGGGCATTGCCATGACAACGCACTCGCCATTACACAACCCCAGCTGGGGAGGCCTAATGGGATTTGTGTGGCTGAGCTTCCCCGTTAACCCACTTCRTCTGCACCACTGGGGGGGTGGCTGCGGCTGGGGACGCGGGTGGGGGCTCTGAGCGCAGCCAGCTCTGCTCTGCCAGAGGAAACTGAGGCACACACCCTCGGGGCAGCAGAGCAGCAGCAAGAACACGGGGAGTGCTGTGCGGTGTGGGCAGGGTGCGGGGTACAGGCGGGTCCCGGGCTGTRAGCAGGGTCCGGGGTGCGGGCAGAGCTCGGCTTTGCGCCTGCTCCCGGTTCTCTCCAGCGCTCGGCTCCAGCGCCGCCGTCTGGGTGCGTGCCCGGCGCTGCCTGGCAGCTCCTGCGGGCGCGGTTGGCAGGGTCCGGACCCGGGGGACCGACACCTCCATCCTTTCACCTCCTCTCCCTGCCAGAGAGCAGCGGGGGGAGGCAGAGCTGTAGCTGGGGCCCGGTTTAACGCGGTGGTGGGCAGCTGCCCGTCCCCGCAGCGTCCTGCCCGCAGCTGCCTCTGTTGTGCGCGGATCGTTGTGTTGTGCAGCTGGAGGGGCATCGGGTGGGTGCGGGGTGCAGCGTCCCCTCCCCCAGAGAGAAACTAGGGCAGGGCCGGCTTCTCGGGGGGGATCCGGGGGAGGGGGCTGGGGACAGATTGGAGGGGACGCTGCCTGTGAGCCCGGCTCGGCACGGTGCCACTCACAGCTATTTATACTGGAACTCCAGCCTGCTTTCTGCTGGAGATGTCACCTCCGATCCCGTCTCCGCTGCTGCCTTTCCCCGTYCCTCCTTTCCGTCTGAGTCCTGCAGTGGGGCTGGCACTGTGCCCTTGCTGAGGTCATGAGGGCAGTGAGGGCACCCAGCGTTTTTCTTGTCACCTCAAGGTGCAGGCAGGGTTAAGGGTGAGGTGTGAGCCCCCCGTTTCTCATGATGCTGTCACGGCTGTGGGGATCCCTGCCCGCCTCTGCCTGGCACTGCCCAAGGTGCCGCCCAGCAGAGAAAAAGTCCTTTTTGGAGACCAGTCTGGAGCATCCTTGGGGACAGGACAGGATGAACCCTCCCACAACGGGGGTTCACTTTGTGACCCTCTCCCCCAGTTCTGTGCGCTGAGCGGGTGGTCAGGATCACCAAGACCTATCACGACATTGATGCCGTCACCAACCTGCTGGATGAGGTATGTGGGAACCCTCACCTGTGTGAGGGCGGGGGTCTGGTGGGACCCTGGGGACACGGGGGTGGGTGAGGATGGGGGAAGGGACTGGGGAAGTCCTGGCTGAGGCAGAMGTGCCCCTCGCAGAAAGAGCGGGACCTGGAGCTGGCGGCGCGCATTGGGCAGTCSCTGTTGAAGCAGAACCGGAGCCTGACCGAGCGCAATGAGCTGCTGGAGGAGCAGCTGGAGCTGGCCAAAGAGGAGGTAACAGCTCCTGGACACAGGTCTGGGCCGTGGCCCCCTGCGTGTCCCCCTGGGGCAGCTGTGGTCCCCTCAGCCGCGTCCTGAAGCACCTTCCCTCTCCAGATTGCRCAGCTGCGCCATGAGGTCTCCATGCGGGATGACCTTCTCCACTTTTACACCACCACAACAGAGGAGAGCGAGCCCACCACCACCACCTCCACACCGTGAGTGCGAGCCCCTGTCCTGCCACTCCCCTGGGCCAGAACTGCTCCAGTGGGTGGGCTGAGGCTTTGGGCAGGAGCCATAACCATTTAAATTTTTTTTAATTTTTAGGGGGTATTTTTGGGATATTTTGGGATATTTTGGGATTTTTTGGAATTTTTTTTAATATTTTTGCGATTTTTTTTTGATTTTTTGGGTAATTTTGGGATTTTGGGGGGTATTTTGGATTTTTTGGGGTATTTTTTAAAATTATTTTTATAGGATTTTAAAATTTTTTTTTGGGAGTATTTCTTGCAGAGGGTGGCACCGGCCACACTCTGCTCCCTTCTCTGGTGGCTGTGGATCCAACCCCACAGAACTTGGTCACTGCAGATGCCCGGGAGGGTGGGCAGGGGTCTGGGTGCGCATCCCCATCCTGCCTCACTGCGGGTGCTCAGCGCCATCCCTGCYGTCCCCAGGCTGCGCCGGCACGAGTCCTCGCTGTCCCTGCAGCAGTACTTCCAGTACGACACYTTGCAGCAGAAACTCAAGTGCCTGGAGGAGGAGAACCAGAAGCTCCGGATGGAGGTGAGCAGAGCCAGCTGATGGATGCCCCTCAGTGCCCACTCTGCCCTGCTCTGTGGGGGGACCCGAGCTGCCCTCACCCCCGGGGAGATGGGAGATCCTGCCTGTCCTGCTCAGCCCCTCCAACCCTCTCCCCCAGGCCACCAACATCGCCACTGAGACCTGCCAGTACGAGGAYCAGGAGCAGCAGCTGATGATTGACTGCGTGGAGCAGTTTTGTATGTAGGGYTGGGGGTCTGCGGGCACTGCCCAGCTGTGCGGGCTGGGGCTGGGGACTTTGCCCCGGCGCTGACGGCCCCCGGCCCTCTCCCAGCCGAAGCGAGCCAGCAGGTCGCTCACCTGTCGGAGGAACTGGCGCACAAGGCGGAGGACGCGGCACGGCAGCAGGAGGAGATCACCCAGCTCCTGGCGCAGGTCGCGGACCTGCAGCAGAAATGTCGCTCGGTGAGGGWCCCCTGCCCRTGCCGGGGGGAGGGGGGTGCGGGCRCAGCGCTCTGACCTGSCCKCTCCCACCCGCAGTACGGCTCCGAGGTGGAGGAGCTCCAGCAGCACCTGAGCGCGGCCAAGGAGGTGCAGCAGCAGCTCCGCATGGAGGTGAGCCCGGGGGTGTCCGGCCGGGTGGGGGGACCTGCCCCGCTGCCCCCGGGAACGCGCTGGAGCTGTGCCCGTGTCCCCGCAGCTGCGGGATCTGCAGGAGAAGTACGCGGAGTGCGGCGGGATGCTGCAGGAGGCACAAGAGGAGGTGAAGAGCCTGCGGAGCCGCAGCCTGCCCAACAGCACCGTCAGCCGCTACAGCACCCCCAGCCTCCCGCCCGTGGGGAGCCCGGTGAGTGCGGGGGGCCGGGCGGAGGGTGGGGGGCCCTGCTCTCCCCTCCACTGACACTGCTGCCCCCGCTTCCAGAAATCGCTGGCAGCTGAGATCAAGGGGACGATGAGCTCCTCCACGGACTACAAGTGAGTGCTGTCACTGGTGGCTGGTGCTGTGCCGTGGGMCGGGTCCGGCTCACCCCCGCCTGCTTCCTGCCCGCAGGAGCTACCAGCGCGTCTTCGACACGGTGAAGGCGGTGAACCAGGCAGCCAAAGCCAAGTCTTGCTCTGAGTCTCCCCACCACGTTCCRGGCTCCAAGCAGTTGTCGGCTGCCCACTCTGAGGGGGCCAGCACCCCCCAGACYAGCTGCTCCGGCTCCGAGGACGCTCGGTGAGTGCCGGGGTGGGGTGGAAATGGGGCCGGGGGGGAACAGCCCCGCACAGGAGCTGGGATGCCGGTGAGCTGCTGCTCACATCACGGAGGAATCTTCCTGGGGACGGGAGGGCAGGGTCTGGGTGGGGTCCGGCACAACCTGAGGGGTACCCTAACGCTGTGCCCGCTTTCCAGCGAGGACTCGCGGGCAGCCCCGGGCCGGCAGGACCTGGAGGCGGCGGTGCAGCGGCTGTCGGTGCGGCAGCAGAGCCACCTCAACGAGGAGCGCTCCTTCTTCGAGGCCGAGCGGGAGCGCAAGCTGTGGCGGCTGAAGGACGGGGCGAGCTCCAGTGGCTTCCTCACGCCCGAAGGCAGCGTCGTCTCCACTGGCACCAGCTACTCRGGGAGCTCGGAGCTCACCGCTGCCTCCAGCTTCTCGCTCGGCTCCCTCTCCTACCTGCCCGACAAACTGCAGATCGTGAAGCCGCTGGAAGGTGAGGGGCAGAGCGGGTGCAGAGCTGCGGGTGCTCCGAGGGTCCAACAGCCCCACCTGACCTCCCCCTGGCCGTGTCCCCCCCCCAGGCTCGGTGACTCTCCACCACTGGCAGCAGCTGGCACAGCCCAACCTGGGTGGGATCCTGGTGCCCCGTCCCGGGGTGCTCACCAAAGACTTCAGGCAGCTGGACATCGACCTGGAGGAGGTGTACAGCCTCAACGACCTGGAGGAGGATGATGTGGACGCCAGCTCCTTCCGGCTGCTCCCTACCTCAACACCCACCAAAGCCAAGGAGCGCCCCCGGGGTGAGCGCGGGGTGCGGGGACGGAGGGGCCGCAGTCCCCGGGATGCCCCTGTCCTGTCTAGGCTCCCCCTCGCCTCCTCCAGTGCTCTCCCCTCCTGCAGCCGCCCGTCCCCGTCCCCCCGCTGTCCCCACGGGGATGCTCCGCCTGCAGCTGCTCAAGGGCCGTTCTGGGGCCGCTGCCCCGGCGGGGTGAGCCCTCGCCATCACCCTGGCCAGCCCCTGCTGCTCCCCGGCCGCGCTGGGACCGACGGCACCTCCCGGTCCTGGCTGCGTTCGCTGCCTGCTCTGAGCATGGAGCTCCCAGCCCAGCTCTGGCTGTCCCGCCCGCCCTCCGCCGTGCCCTCCATGTGTGCCGCCCCTCTCCCCATTGACCCCTTGTCTCCTGTCCCTTCCAGTGTTCCTCTCTGTTAACAACCTCCCCCAGACCCCGTCTACCTTCACCATCACCACCTGCCACATCCTCCACCCCACCACCGCCATCACCACGGTGACACCCAGGTAAGGCCCCTGGCCCCTGCCGCCTGCGCTGCCTGCACCCGCCCCCGGCCCCGCTGCGCACCCCGAGCTCCTCCTCCTCCTCCTCAGCCCCTGCCTGGCTCCCTGCAGCTCGAGGAWTTGGCAGGCCGGGGGCCACCTGCAGCCCCTGATGCTCTGAGAGATGCCAGCGCTAGCAATGTCCCCAAATCTGTCTGCTGGGGTGTCTGTGTGCCCGGGGCTGGCACACCAACCCCCTCCTCTGCACTGGTGGATGGGGAGCCTTCCTGGGATGGGCTCACCCCGGGCAGGGAGCCGTCCATGCTCCTGGCACTCTGGGGAACGGACACAGCTTTTCTCCTTCCACACTTGGGCAGCAGCCAGGACATTTTCCCAGGCGGGTGTTGGGCTGTCCCTTCATTAATGAGCACTGGTGATTAGCCCTAATGAGCCCCCCCAAGGCTCGCTGGGGGTTGGTGCGAGCTGGAGTTCACTGTTACACAAATCCGTGGTGTTTGGAAATTGCTCAGGGAGCAGGGACTGTGTCCCAAACCCTCCTGGTTGCCGAGGAGCAGCCCTTGGGTGCTCCTCTGTGAGCTTTGGCTGCTTGAGCAGTTTGCAGCACGGGGGTCTCCTATAGGGAAGGAGGAAAGGGGGTCCCACCCTGCCCACAGCCCTGCCTGGCCCTTTCAGCAGCATCCCCCAGCACATGGCACCCCCAACTGATCCCCACTTCTCTCTCTTCCCCTCCAGTCTGTCTCATGCCGTCGTGCCTTCTTGTGGGCCCTTTAAGGGGCTGAGCCTCAGCAGCCCCTCACCAGAACAGACTCCCCCCACACTGGCACTTGGCCCCGGACCCCCGAGCACTCCCATGGGACTATTCAGGCTCTCGCTGGGGCGACATTCCCACTTGGCAGCGGGGACTGGATCACGGTGCACCCCCTCACTCCACTCCCAGGACCCTCAGCCCTCCCCCGGGCCCAGGGGTCAGGAKGGACCCCCACCCAGGAGCAGCATCTTCAGCTGGAATTTGGTGGAGAAGCTGCAGCGCCTGGGGCTGGACAAGGTGGTGGCCAGAGGGACAATGTCCAACAGCCGGACAGGCCCAGAGGGGCCCAGGGCACCCAGAAGTGATGCTGCTGCACAGCCCCCGGGCTCAGGGTGAGACACATCCTCTTCCTCACCCATCAGCGGGGAAACGGAGACTGGACAAGCTTCAGCCTCAGCTCATGGTGATGCCCCAGGTCCGTCAGCAGTCCCAGCACCAGCGTGGGGGGCTTTGCCCTGGCTGCAAGGACAGAACCTGGCACTGCTCCCCATGTGCAGGGGGTGCTGGCTGACCCTGTCCCTGCTGGGGGGRTTTGGACCCTTCACAAGAGCCAGTTCTGGCAATAAAAACTGTTCCTGCTTCTGCTGAGCCTGCCTGCGGAGCGAGGGGCAGCGCGGCCCTTCGGGGCTGTTCAGCTGCTGCAGCGAAGGGCGATGCTCAGTCTGGGCTCAGGTGGGTCCTGGGGCAACCAGCCAGGGCCGGGGGGCAACCCCTGCACCGCGGGCTGGGCCCCTGGCCAGCACCTGGACTGGACTGGCTTTTAAAGGGAATGGTGGTTTAACTCTTTCCTGCCCACCGAGTAGCAATAGTAGCAGCACCCACAGCTTGGGATGTTTCTGGGGGCGCAGCTGATGCTCCCCCCGGCCGTGTCCCTCCCTCCAGGCTGTGACCCATCCCCTGGCAAATAAATGTGAATTCACAGAGCAGCTCGTGTGTGGTGTGTCTGCTGCTGCATTCCGTGATTGCTGCCCTGTAACCCCCTGCCCACCCTCCCAAGCTCTCCCCAGCACACCCACGAGTGCAGAGGCCATAGTGCCAAAGTTTTATTGTGGGAAAGGACGTGCACTGAGTGTGTGGCTGCTCGGTGTGGCCAGTCCAGCCCAGCGGCTACGCGGCACCGGCCTCATCCTCGGCACTGCGGCGGCCAAAGTCCATCCAGTCAGGRTAGTAGTGGTCATGCAAAGCCTCCATTCCCTCGTCCTCATGCACAAARGCCTTGTGGTTGTTCAGCTCTGCCAGGGCAAAGGCAGCAGTCAGAGCTGACACAGGGGCCTGGCTGTGCCCCCCAAAGGCTGCCCACCCTGAGCTCCCAGTACCTGTGAGGACGTGGGGCAGGAACTGGGACAAGAGGCGCTGCTGCTCCTGGGAGAGGTGCTCGGGCCAGTCCCTTCGGGCCAGGCTSGGGGGGTGCTGCTGGGGGTCCCCCATGGTGTCTGGCACCGCTGGCCGGCACAGACAGACAGTCACTGCCAGGGTGAGGGTGAGAGCGAGGCACAGCATCACCTTCATGGCTGTGGAGAGATGGAACRGGGCTGGGGAAATGGGGGGCTGCAGCCCCTGAACTGGGACACGCTCAGCCTGGGGTGAGGGGTGCCCTGGATGCTTGGCCGTGGGGCACAGAGCATTCACAGCCCCCTCTGTCCCTCCCTTTGGGTCCCCAAGTCCCCTCCATCCCTTCCACCTTCTCCCCAGGTCATCTCCATCCCTCTCTCCTGGCTGGTCCCCAATTCTCCTAGAACCACAAGGATCGAATCCCACTCCTTGCTCCTTCCAAGGATGCTGCAAACTAAAGCACATGGCTGGGAGCATCATCCAGCTGCTCCTTGAGCTGCCAGTGRGGAGCAGGGTGCTCATCCCCAGGGCACAGCCAGGTCCCAGGTCCCCTCTTGTCCCTCCCAGTGCATCTCCAAGTTGCTCTGTCCCTCCCATCTCTCTCCCTGCTGGTCCTCAGGTCACCCTGGGCTGTGCCAGAGCCCTGTGGGACTCACCTGCAGGTTCTGGGGCTCAGCAGGGTGTCCTGGTGGGAGTCCTGGTGGGTGTCCTGCTGGGTGTCTYAGTGGGTGTCTCTCTCCAGAGAGGCCCCGGCTCAGCCCCGCTTTTAAAGTCGCTGCCAGGGCTGCCACACCCCAGGGCGGCTCCACACCCGTCCCCCCCTGTCCGGGGGGGCCCTCGGGCAGCTGTGTGTGCTCACAGACACACGGACACACAGACACACGGACACACAGACACACGGCTTGACAGTCATATCCATATGTACACGTATACAGGTGCACACGTGTCCATATACACACATAACTACACGTGCACACAGACATGTTTATGGCTGGCTGGTGGTGTGTACATGTATATAAAAATATAAATAATATTTATATTATTGAAATATATTATTAAGAATAAGTAATACAGTATAATAGATAACATTTTATAGTACAGTATAATAATATAGTATAATAGATTTTATAGTATAAAATATAGACAACATGTAATGTGTACAGTTCTAACAGATAACATTGCTTATACATCTATGTGAGYACATCCCGGTGTCCATATGTACACGTGGGCACAGATACACAGCTACAGGCGTGTGCACATGTGTGCACATATGTGTGTTTATATGGATGAGGACTCCACGGGGTAATTGTATGTCATGGAGTGATGGAGGGTGTGTGGATGCATAAGGAATACAATGACAAATCTCCCTCTAAATATGTACCCACACATATATGCATATATATATATAYACACATATATATGTATGTATGTATRKAKAGAWAKAKRTATAYRTAYAYATRWAT